AATATTCTAAAAGTTCAGTACAACCTGGGTCAATGAATCAAGTGGGACATGATGACATGGAGATCCCCATAGCTGCCCAGTGTTCGGGCGTACTGGAAAGCCTCACGCCGAAGGACGTGGAAGGGTGGTAAAAGACCACTGACGGACTTTGTGCCAAAAATTGATTGCACAACCGAGGAATATGCACAGAAAGACAGTTCTTTACGGTGTCCACTCTCCCGAAGGGCACATGAAACAAGCCCGTGCGGCGGTTACGCCTCCCAGGCTCATTAACCCTCGCCGGCACAGGCCAATTTCCGTCCTTCGACGGCACAAGGGGGGTTGGTACGACCCCCTGCCGTTTCGCCCCTGATCGAGCTAGAGCTTCGCGGACAAAACAAGCGTGTTGCCCGTCACGAGAGGAAGCCGATGATACCCAATTTTAAGGTCCTAGGTCATAGGTTGACCTTCCACGTCAGGTCAATGACCCAAAAGTCGGGAAAATCGTGACCTGTTAGAAAGTCGTAAAGTGTGGCTACTATGAGGTTTTCTGGGGTGCTGATCACGAATATCGTGTTAGTTTTGATCACAGATGATGTCTTTGGGCATTTAGACCAGGTCGGGTCGGGTCGGGTCAGGTCAGGTCAACCGGTAGGGGTCGTGACGGGTATTCGTAGAACGTGTCAACCGCCTCTGACAGCTTCGTAGCATGTTACGAAGGCACCAAAACTACTTCGTAAATGTTGAAATGGTTGATAAATTCGAGTTCAGCTAAAAAAAAAAAAACTAGCCTAGAAACATGTAAAACTCGAAAAAGTGAACCGGGGTCACCAAAGATCAATGACCTGACCTGACCATTAGGTGACCTTGACATCCACCATGCATGGGAGCAACATCAGATAACATGTTTGAACGTTTGAAACCACGGAAAGCTTGCAAACGCGCGGCTAATGCGAGCCGACATACGCCGAATCGCGATTCCGGCCAAACATGGTCTCGGAAAGTAGGTCACAGGTCAAAGGTCATTTGGGTCAGGGTCATGAAATTTTAAGGATTGGTGTAAAATTGATCAATGCGAGGGTACTAAAAGTTTCGTCGCGATCGGCCGCTTTTTACGCGGGTTATTCGCGAAAAACCGAGGGGGGAAGGTTGCATCAACCTTGCAACCGATGTTTGGCCTTAAAGGGACCCTCCCACCTTAACATTAGTTTTGAGTTGAGATAGCCAAATTGGTGGCCATGGCCTGAAAATACCGGTTTGGACATTCACAACATCGAAAAATGCTTTAATTCGGAGATATGGAATTTCAAACTTGCAGTTTTCGGATTCTAAGGGGCTAATGCATTGGTATGCCCCCTTAGAATTTGTGACGTCAGCGGAGATCTAACGATTTTTAAATCTTTTACTAAAACGTTTGGCAGCACGCGGTGGTATATGCTGCTTTGCGCGCAACAAATGCCGCACTTTCAAATAAAGTCGCTAGGAACAGCGGAGATCCCAAAAAGTAAACAAAAGTAAACGTCTAATATCTTGAAAACCGGTGAATATTTTTCGATGAAATTTGGTAGATATTCATTTTTGCTCTTTCTGAACCGAGCGACATCACTTTCATGCCAATTCATTAACTTTTTTGAAGGTGGGAGGGTCCCTTTAACCGTGCTGGCGACGGTTAAGGCCAAACATCGATACCAGGTAAGCGCAGTCGGTACGGTGGTGAAGGAGTTGGTACAAGAACATGACATCGGTATGAATGAGGCGAGCTTTGATGGACTCAGTTTTAAAGGTTTGCAGTAGACTACGATAGTCCATAGGACAGTTCCTCTGCGTTTTAGCCCCTAGCCACATGAGAAAGCAGTGCTGTAGCCGCTCCAGCCGTACCAGGTGGGACTGGGCTGCACCGCTCCAAATGACACTTCCGTTTTGGAGGACGGACCTAACATGAGCATTGAACGCGCATAGTACCGCCCTGTGCTCGAGACGCGCTGGAGGTGGACAAGCTGGCATATCCATGCTCCTCATGAGGAGTCCCAGCATCCGGCAGCAAATCTTTGACTTTCGTTTATTGAAATCAATGTGCTATTTTAAAATATTTTTAATCAAATTAAATCATTTTTGAGTAAATAAATGTAAATATAGCACGGCAAGTATAGCGTTATTATTTAACCCTCGCCGTCATAGGAGGGGGGGGGGGGGGGTGATGCAACCCCTCTAAGGTTTTTCGCGAATAACTCGCGTAAAAAGCGACCGAGCGCGACGAAACTTTCAGTACCCTCGCATTGATCAATTTTACCTACACCTACTCTAAAAATTTCATAACCCTGACCCAAATGACCTTTGACCTGTGACCTACTTTCCGAGACCATGTTTGACCGGAATCGCGATTCGGCGTATGTCGGCTTGCCTTAGCCGCGCTTTTGCAAGTTTTTCGTGGTTTCAAACGTTCAAGGTCAAATCAGGTCATTTACCTTTGGTGACCTCGGTTCACTTTTCGAGTTTTACATGTTTCTAGGCCAGTTTTTCGAGCTGAATTCGAATTAAGCAACCATTTGAACATTTACGAAGTAGTTTTGGCGCCTTCGTAACATGTTACGAAGCTGTCAGCGGCGGTTGTCACGTACTACAAATACCCGTCACGGCCCCTACCGGTTGACCTGACCTGACCCGACCTGGTCTAAATGCTTAAAGACATCATCTTTGATCAAACTAACACGATATTCGTGATCAGCACCCCGGAAACCCCATAGCAGCCACACTTTACGACTTTCTAACAGGTCACGATTTTCCCGACTTTTGGGTCATTGACCTGACCTGGAAGGTCAACCGATGACCTAGGACCTTAAAATTGGGTATCATCGGCTTTCTCTCGTGACGGGCAACACGCTCATTTTTTCCGCGAAGCTCTAGCTCGATCAGAGGCCAAACGCGAGGGGGGTCTTTCCCTTGTGCCATCGAAGGACGCAAAATGGCCTGTGCCGGCGAGGTTTAAGTTCCAGGGACAAAAATTTCACGAGAAACATGTCCGGAGAGTAACCATCGAGCCTGTCCCGTCAGGCGTCATGTTGGATAGCCCTCAATATAAGCTCATTCGTGCAGAGCTATGCAGACCAGGCTGCCTAAGCGCGGACCTACCAAAAGTCCGGTAGGGCCTGAATTTAAAATTTTAAACCCAGCTGTTCTGAAATATGTTCAAAAATTTTCCGTGATTATGAATGCATTGGGCGAGCCAAAATTATTTTACAGTGGCGCTATTAAAATAAGTTTTCGAATCGATTTAACATCATTTATTGCATGACGCCTGATACAGTAAAAAAGAACAGCTGAAAAAGACCTACGAAAAATATGGCATGCCTTTCTGAAAGCTATTGAGCACCCCCAATGATTTTTGGAAAACTACACCCATGAGAGCGACGCCCAATTGCCCATTCCCAGCAGATCAGAGTCGCTCCAGAAGCAGATGGGCACCCCCAGCAGAAGAGGGGCGTCTTATTACAAGAATAAAAAGATGCCTTCTGTTCAAGAGGGGCACTCCTGGCAGGAGAGGTGTCCCCCTGAAGAGGAGCGACGCCCCAGCAAAAGTAGAGAGGCGCCCCCATTCCAAGAAGAAGAGGGGCGCCCTAACCGCAGATAGGCGCCCCAACAAAGAAAAAGAGAAGCCCCATAATAAAAAAATGGGTGCCACTGGCAGAAAAGGGGCGCCCCCGGCAGCGGAGGGGGCCCAGCAGGAGAAAGGAGCCTCCAGCAGGAGACGGAGAAAGAAGAGGTCTCCAGCAGAAGAGAGGAGCCCCCTTCAGGAGAGGGGCGCCCTCAGCAGAAGAGGGGCGCCCCAGCAGAAGAGAGGCGCCACAGCAAAAGTTGATCAGAGATGGGGAGCCTTCAGCAGAGGTTGGGCTCGCCAAGCAGGATAGGGGCGCCCCATTGACAATATCCGGCAGAAGACAGACGCCCCAGCAGCAGATGGGCGCCCCCGGTAGAAGAGGGGCGCCTCATTACAAGAAGAAAAGGAGTATATTCTGCACAAGAGGGGCGCCCCTGGGGCAGCGGAAGGGCAACCCCAGCAGAGGGGCTGTGCCCCAGTAAAAGGAGAGTGGTGCCCCGCTCCGAGCAGAAGAGGGACGCCCAAGCAAAAAGAGGAGCCCCATAAGAAGAAAAGGGATGCCTCTGGCAGGAGAGAGACGTCCCCCGCAGTGGAAGGGCGCCCCCAGAAGAGGCGTCTCTAGCAAAAGATAAGTGCCCCTGCAGGAGAGGGGCACCCCAGCAAAAGTTGGGCAGAAATGTGGCGCCCCCAGCAGAATTTGGGGTCGCCGAACAAGAAAGGGCCGCCCCATTCACAGTAGAAAAAGGGACTCCCCAGCAGCAAAGGCGTGCCCTAACAGCAAAGGTGCACTCCCAGTAGAAGCGGGACGCATCAAGAAGAAGAGGGGCACTTCTAGCAAAAAAATGGGCGTCCCAGATAAGTGGGCCACCTACAGCAAATTGGTCGTTCTTAGAAGAAATGAGGCGACTTCAGCAAAGTGAGCCTCCCCATGACGGATTTGGCGATCCAAGCAGAGGTTGGGCGCACGGCGGCGCTGCGCGCAGCCGTGTTAAAGATATTTGCGAAAAACCTAGGGGGACGTGACAACGCACGGCGTGGGTTTTAAACTCTCGATTTTGACGACGGTTTGGCGCCCCCGGATTGCCAGGTCGCCCCTATTTCAACTTGCCGCCCCCCTCCCGAAAATTCCTGGATCCGCCCCTGCGTGACCTGACCTGGTTGTGTTGTGCTGTGTTTCAGCCAGGATCGATCTGACCTGACGTGACCTGACCTGGTTGTGTTGTGCTGTGTTTCAGCCAGGCTCGATCTGACCTGGTTGTGTTGTGCTGTGTTTCAGCCAGGCTCGATCTGACCTGGTTGTGTTGTGCTGTGTTTCAGCCAGGCTCGATCTGACCTAGTTGTGTTGTGCTGTGTTTCAGCCAGGCTCGATCTTACCTGGTTGCGTTGTTTCAGCCAGGCTCGATCTGACCTGGTTGCGTTGTTTCAGCCAGGAGCGTGACCAGCTGCGGGAGCGACAGCGGGAGCGCGAGCGCCGCTCCCGCTGTCAGATCGCTCAGGAGGCGGCGCGCGACTCATTTCGGGAGCAGACGTTCGGCGCCACCTTCAGCCAGCCGATCCGGGTGAGCTGAGCTGAGCGCGCCGCACACTGGGCAGACTGGCACTCCTAGCACGACATGGGTACAAAAAAGGTTTTGTGGAAGTGCAATAAAATCTATACCATCTTATTCAAAAATGGCCATACTACTCGTACATTGTCCTGGTCTTCATTTCCCTACGCAGTTGGTATTTCGTGGCGAAAACTCAGTTCAAACACGAACTTCTGAATCGTTTCAACCGGGCCCGTCTCCCGCCCTTCTCGGCAACGCATCTTTGATCCACGAAAACAATCATAATTTGAGGAGGAATTTCACTGTAATTCGTATTCGTTTCGGGCTACACTGAGGTAAAAAATTGGTAACTTCAGTGTGTTTCAGTGTAGGCCGAAACGAATACGAATTACAATCATTCACCTGAGGAAGATTAGAAATGTCACTTCGTCAATACCTGAAGAATTGCACATTTTTATATACCAAAAGGTAGCTCGGCCGTTCCTGAAGAAGAAATTCAAACCTAAAACAATGACGAAATCTCACTTGGTTGTGATGTTTTTTTTGTACAGTACAGATTTCAAGTTGAACATGTAATTTCACATAATTGAAGATAAACACGAACGAACTTTTGAAAAAGTACACCAAAGTTCCGCTCCGGAAATCGCGCTATATGTCAAGGAAACATTGCAATACAAGATCTGCCAGTCCTATTTTGCGACTTTTTGCGACTTTGGGCGTAGCAGTAAAAAATTAGCCCGCTCCGGGCCGGTGCTCGGCGCCAGTCGCGCCAGGCCGGGGGTGTCTGAACAGTGAACACCCCCTCCCCCGTCTAACTCCGCTCCTGGACCACGTAGCGAAATGCGGTAAGCGGCACTCGAAAGAACGTTACAAATCATGACGAAAACACCTTCGTATTTGTTAGGTCAGGTAAAAGTTCAGATCACCAGGGGCCTACAAAGGTGAAATGTTGCCTATTTCAACATTTTCCGAAAACCCGGAGCATAAATCGGAAACCAATAGAGTTTAAGCGCCGCGAAGAGGCGTATTCGATAGCCCTTTTAACCCGCGCCCCACTGGGGTCCGCGTATAACGCGCCCTACTGGGGGGGGGGGGGGGGCGCTCTTCATAGCCCCCCTCATAACTCCGAAACTACTGGGCCAATCGTCAAAACTCAAACGACATCTGATAGCCCCGGAAAAACTGTCGAGCGAAACCTAATTTCATTGACCTCGAGGTTACCGATGACTCAGGTCAAAGTAAAAATTATAGATGTTTGACTTGTTCACATTTTGGGCTCTGGGCGCCGTCTTACAAGTCATATCAGGCTCATTTTTGGTATACACACTCGTGAACAGATGCTTTAGATATACCCTGAGGGTACCAAACTTGTACTTTGATTTTCAGGTCAGGGTCAGGTAATCAGTAATCACAGGTCACGGAAATCTTTTATCATACATCGGTCACGCGACACATGTTTTGTGGTCCATTTAGGCCATATACATGTTATGTCATTCGAGGTCATTTTGAGTTGAATTTAGCTTAGGTAAGGCCACTTTCAGGTCATAAAGGTTAAATTTCAAAGCTACAATTTTCCAACAAAAAAGGTGTCTATTGGATGCAGTTTGAGCTCAGGAACACGATGCTTCTATTTATAATAACACGGAACAAAAATGATAGACGAACGCGTTTCGGCTAAATCACCGTCATCAGCGTCTAAAAGGAGAACAAGAGGCACACATCGAGCAAATATCACAGTTCAATCGTTTTGATTTTTACATACACTTTTTTAAACAAGCATGTGACAATGTGGTTACATTTCCTTTGACAAAGAGAAAATATCCTAAAAGAATCCTAAGAGAATAGCCACATTGTACAGTTTACACAGGTGTTGCACAATTCATATGTGGATGTTTAAAATGCCAAACAACGCCGCTGCTTTTGCCCACTTCATGAAACCAACCCTGACATTAATGGTATCACTCGTAGCAATAAACGCCGCTTCAGTAGCTTTTCTGTTGTCGCGATTACTACATGACGTGAGTACCTTTGCCCCGTCCCAGTATGGGAGATGGTTTGAGTTCTGAGCATGTAGAACAAACGCACTGTGTTGCATGTTATTTCGTAGGTCACGTCTGTGCTCTTTTAATCTCGTTCCAATACCCCTTCCCGTCTCCCCGATGTATTTCTTATTGCAAGACCCGCATGGAACCTGATATACAACGCTGTTGCCATTATCCTTTTTGTTACTTTCTCTATTTCTTGATAGCATGTCACCCACCTTTTTACCCGAAGTAAAGGACACTTTAAAACCTATAGTCTCGAGTTCTTTCGCAATCGTTGTGGCCGTGATCGAGTTCGGCATCGTGATGTATCGTTCGTCTTTTTTCTTGGTTTTTGTTGTTGAGGATCGTTTTCGTATGTTAAGGGCCTTTCGTTTAAGATCCAATAAATATCCTTTCGGATATTTCAGCTTCATGAAGGAAAGCATGATATGCTCGATCTCGTCATCCACATATTCTTTACTACAAATTCGGAAAGCACGTAGAAAAAATCCCAAGACAACACCACTCTTAACCCTATCACTATGTCCAGAATAGAAATCACTCTTGAGAAGGAAAAACAGGGATCCATTGCGTTCCTCGATACGATGATTATACGTAATGATAGAGCGAAATTCAAAGTTTACCGAAAACCAACCAACAAAGAGTCATATGTGCATTTCTATTCTGGACATAGTGATAGGGTTAAGAGTGGTGTTGTCTTGGGATTTTTTCTACGTGCTTTCCGAATTTGTAGTAAAGAATATGTGGATGACGAGATCGAGCATATCATGCTTTCCTTCATGAAGCTGAAATATCCGAAAGGATATTTATTGGATCTTAAACGAAAGGCCCTTAACATACGAAAACGATCCTCAACAACAAAAACCAAGAAAAAAGACGAACGATACATCACGATGCCGAACTCGATCACGGCCACAACGATTGCGAAAGAACTCGAGACTATAGGTTTTAAAGTGTCCTTTACTTCGGGTAAAAAGGTGGGTGACATGCTATCAAGAAATAGAGAAAGTAACAAAAAGGATAATGGCAACAGCGTTGTATATCAGGTTCCATGCGGGTCTTGCAATAAGAAATACATCGGGGAGACGGGAAGGGGTATTGGAACGAGATTAAAAGAGCACAGACGTGACCTACGAAATAGCATGCAACACAGTGCGTTTGTTCTACATGCTCAGAACTCAAACCATCTCCCATACTGGGACGGGGCAAAGGTACTCACGTCATGTAGTAATCGCGACAACAGAAAAGCTACTGAAGCGGCGTTTATTGCTACGAGTGATACCATTAATGTCAGGGTTGGTTTCATGAAGTGGGCAAAAGCAGCGGCGTTGTTTGGCATTTTAAACATCCACATATGAATTGTGCAACACCTGTGTAAACTGTACAATGTGGCTATTCTCTTAGGATTCTTTTAGGATATTTTCTCTTTGTCAAAGGAAATGTAACCACATTGTCACATGCTTGTTTAAAAAAGTGTATGTAAAAATCAAAACGATTGAACTGTGATATTTGCTCGATGTGTGCCTCTTGTTCTCCTTTTAGACGCTGATGACGGTGATTTAGCCGAAACGCGTTCGTCTATCATTTTTGTTCCGTGTTATTATACTTGTCTCAACTGAAATACAAGCTTCTATTTATATTGGTGTACGATGCCAAATACGTACTGCAAAATTGATTTGAAAAATGTATTATCGTGAAATTTTTGCTATAATGCATATAACTTAGCTATTTTTTAAGATATCTGGCTACATCTGATAGAGGAAGCCATAAGCATGTGTTCTATCACATATATTCAGTTCTTTTTTCGAAAAGTCAAAAACTTTTTGAAAGAAAGATAGAAATATACATATTAGAGAGAGAAAATATATGAAAAAATGACCTCTCCTCGACATTTAAAAATTATTTGAATAGCCAAATATTACTGTATTGATATTTCGACCAACAGGTCTTCTTCAGAATAAGACAATGTACACAATTGTACGAGAACGAGAATACAATAATTGATGCAGCAGACTTATTCCCGCGGTTTTCAAATTCAAAAATTAGCGCGGTTTATCTCGCGCTCATAAAACAGTGGTACAACCTTTTTAACAACTTCAAAATATCACAGAATATGCATGAAAACACATCGCTTGACACATCGAGTTCAAAGGTCAACACTCTAAAGTCAAAGGTCAAAGCACTAGGTTCAAATGCCAGACAAGAAGGTCGAGTTCAGGGTTAGAGTTCAACGTATCCATGACCATCAAGGTCAAACCATAGCCAGATAATGTAAATTATACAATATACACATATATACAGATCTTCATTCGCACTGATTATTCACAAGTCCAGTAAAGCGCATTACAAATTTAGCAATACAAAATTGGCCATAGGAAGCATTTGACATTTCCACGATCACACTTCATACATTTCCAAATCTTCACTCACCCACATTTATATCTACATGATAGGCCATGAGGACACATTTGAGTTAAGCCTTGGGTCAAGCTGCCTGATGAGTAGTGATTCCGCTATTTTGCGGTCAGGATGGTCTCTTGCCCGGTACAAAACTTCAACATCTATGTGTGTGAGGTTGCCTGTAGTCTGTGGGTGACAGGTACGAAAATGGTCTCCTAAGGGTGTATCCTGTTTTTGGCTCGTCATATCACGTAAATGTTCATTGAACCGCAGCCTCAAGGGCCTTTTCGTTTCCCCAATGTACTCCATTTGACCTACATCAGAAGCACAAAGTTTGCATTTTAGCCTATAAACTACGTTTTTTTGTGTGCATAGTCCGCGAAAATCTGTCTTACATAGATTACATCTGTTGCCGCCCGGGCATTGAGGTTTGGAAAAGGCCGACCGCACTAACTGTTTCTTTAACTTTTTATCATTACGCCATGCTACTTTCACGTCCAGCCCCGATTTCTTGACCACTTTTTTCACCTTGCATAGCAAATCCTCATCGATGTACGGTAAGGTAAG